ATCAGACATCCACACCCACACCAACCCACCCCACACACTCACCAACACCAAAAACTACCCTGTTCTGCTTTGTTCTATCTACTTTTCAATCTATCTGTCTCTCATTTCCCACGACATTTTTTCGGATCCATTAAACCTGGGCAAGTCGCTATCATCTTCACTGCCGATTTCCCATGTGCCTTCATCATTTCCTCATTCCTGTCTTCTTCCGTCGCTGATGTGACGCCAACCCACAACAAACGCGGTCACAGGGATTGTAACGGGAATCGCACGCATTTGCCAACTTACCCCCGTTCAGATGATTGTCACTAGCGCATTTACAAACTTACCCCCGATCAGAAGATCGTCCCTATTGTTAGAAAGAACGAGCACCCCTAGACACTGGCAGGACAGAGAATGGATTGCGAATGGGTGTGCGTAGGTGGTATTGGGAAAAGCACACAAATGTCATGACGAAACAACCGTTTCAAACTCGAGTACATTACAGACGATGCGGCCAACATCGGTTGCAGATCAATCTGGCATACCTTCAGTCGATGCCGGTCCTGCTTCGCTCCCTGCTCCCGTTCCACACGGTCGTCATTCACATTTCCAGCGGAGAGACGCCCATCTCATCCTGTACCTCTTGGATTGTGGTTCGAAACTCGAGACAACTTTGTTGATGTCAACCGTCGATCGATGAGAGTCTTCTTACCACCAAACGACCACGCAACTGGCCCAACTTTTCAGCAATGCTCTCGGATAACGACGACCGTGTGATGATGATGACTGATGACAGAGAGTAGTTTGTCGTCTAGCTATGTCTGTTGCAATCCCCTGCTTTGACTTTCGCAAAGATATGGGGAAGATTCTGTTCCCGCTTGCATTGAATCTTTGAAATAACACATGAGAGAAAGAGGAGGTAGGAAGGAAGACAATAAAGGGGTTGGTTTGTACACACACTGGTGATGACTACATTCACCGTACTCTGACATCTGAACTTACTCAGATAATGTGACAGCAAATATGGAAAGTTGGCTTGAGAGACTGGAAGTTCTATCATGCAAAGAGTGATACACCGCCACCGTTTGGCGTTCGCAAAGCGCAGGCTGGCTGTTTAGTTTGCAGAACCTCTCCCTTCTTCTTCTTCCACTCGTCCTCGTCGACCTATACACTGATAATACTCGCCAACCCCACACCTTTCTCCTCCTCGTCGTCCTCCACTACCTCCTTGTTTCATTTCCTCCCTGTTGCCTTGGAGGAGAGTCGGGTCTCGCCACGCCACCTCCCTCTCCCATTCTCTCGCTCTTCGAAGTGCACTTCCTTGTAATCCACGGGTCACGCAGCAAATCACATGGAAAACCATGGCTGTCACCCTACCAGTACCCGGCAGTTCGTCGAGGATGAACGTGCTCTCCTGCTCCCTTGGCTCACCATCTCGAGAGAAGAACATAACCGTATAGAGAACACTACAACAGCAGAAACCAACTAGAACAAGGAAGAGCCTACGACTTTTCCTCGCAGCTTGAAGTATTGACATCCCTCTGGTCCTCCATTCCCTCCACCATATCCTCCTCCCTCCCTTGCCATTCCCCTCCTCCTCCTCCTCCTCCTCCTCCTCCTCCTTCCCTCTCAAGTACTACAGAAGCTGCCCATCCCAACCTCCTGGTCGAGAGAGACAGGGAGACGGGACAAACATTCTGCCACAGAAAGCGCGGCTGCATACAAAACGCGAGTAGCAGGAACGAAGACATGGTCGTCGTCAACAAAGCTACAGTCAACTCAATGCAATGCAATCTGTTTCATCTATCACTCCATAGCCAACCACTCACCTAGCTGACCCGGAAGCAGATTCGCCATACAATTCATGACCTATTTTTCGAAGACGTCCACACAGCCAGGTTCGCCATACAACGAACATAGTCAACAACGCTCCCAGCCCCCCCACAAGGGACCAGCTGACTGCAAAAAAACAGACAACCAAGCGATTTCTACCAAGAAAATTGTACCATTGTAAGCTCGGCGATCAGGATCGGAAGTCGGCATCATACGGGTTCCAATTTCCGCACAGAAAACACTACAGATAATCTCCAAGACGAGCCTAGATCGCTAAGCGGCTCTACATATAGCACACTTAACAACTGCAAGGGAAGCAAAACCCATTAAACCACAGTCACCACCGTGTCCGCATCCCCTCCCACTTACTTGACTGCACCATACAATTACAGATACGAGCAAAATGCAATTACCTTCTATCCGAAAGACATCAATCGATCGGGCCTACGTGACAAACGCCTCCTTCACAATCTTACTGGACTCCAGCTGCTTCTCTCTCTCTCTCTCTCTCTCTCTCTCTCTCTCTCTCTCTCTCTCTCTCTCTCTCTCTCTCTCTCTCTGTGTGTGTGTGTGTGTGTGTGT